TTAAATTATTAAATTATTTACTTATTTATTTTGGTACTGGGGATCGAACTCCAGTCCTTGCGCTGGCAAGGCAGGCGGCGGAACCACTGAGCTAAATCCCCCGCCCTTGATTATGTTTTTATAGTTTGCAAATATCTTAATGAATCAGGTGCCCATTGCTAAGGCCCATATAGAAAAAGAACACATTGGCAAAGGTGGAGTACTACCTGAATATTCTTTGCCCAGGCTGGCCTTGAACTTGTGATTCTTCTGCTTCAGGCTCCTATGTAGCTGGGATTAATAGATGTGCACCACCACATTTGGCCTGAATATCCATATTCTTAGTACTGGTCAGGGATGGGGATTTAGCTCAGTGGTTCTGTTGCTTGCCTCACAAGCACAAAGCCCTGCCTTTCCCCAGTACCAAAAAAAAAAAAGTACTGGTGTTAATCACATTCATGTTTGTTTCTCTAAAGAATGATCTTTCAAGCTGGGTGTGGTGGCGCATGCCTGTAATCCCAGCACTCAGGAAGCTGAGACAGGAGGATCGCTGTGAGTTCGAGACCAGCCTGGGCTACATAGTGAGTTCCAGGTCAGTCTCAACTACATAGTGAGACCCTGTCTCAAAAAAAACAAAAATAAAAAATAAATAAAAATAAGAATGTAAACAGTTTCTTCCCTTGCTTGAGCAGATTTGCTAGACACTGGTTGCAGGAATACAGTCTTCATAACATTTTCTCAGATACTATTCAAGTTCAGTTATTTGAAGTTGTTTGTAGTTTAAATTGGAACCAGTTCAGGCCTTAGGATCGGACTAGCTTTTCATCCATTCTCTTTGTTCTTCTAATAGAGAGGAAGGGAATAATTGATTAGCTGGAGAGCATTGTAAGGATGGATTAGTTGGGTTGGATATGTAGTGACTAGGGTTTGTACAAAGGCAGTTGCCGGTTGCATGTCTGAGGCCTGTGGATTGTGTGCATTTTGTCTGCTTTCCATGTTTTCCTACATGCACGGCCAGCCAATCAGTTGAGCTGTAAAGCATCATACCTTGGCCTTTTAAATTTTCTTTTTAGAGATTGCAACTCCTAATTTATATAGTTTCTGTACTGATGGGACCATGAACACAGACACAGGGCCAAGGTTACAAGGAATCTGATGATGGCCTTCTGGTGAATTAACTATCGTTATTTGATGAGAATTTGTGTCCCTTTTATTTCAGTTATGAAGCATGGCAGTAAAAATGTGTTGCAGGTGTAAAGGAAAAGGTAGGGAGGTGGTGGAACTTTGGAGAAGATATTTGCAAACTGGACACCTAAAAGATGTTATATAAACCTTTTAATTTCTCTTTTTATAGCTTCAAGCCCCTGGAAAAGGCCTAACTAGCAACAAAAGCAAGGATGACCTTGTGGTAGCTGAAGTAGAAATCAATGATGTGCCTCTGACGTGCCGGAACCTGCTGACCCGAGGACAGACTCAGGACGAGGTGTGGAGGGTCAGAGCTCTGGGGAGGGGCAGGGAAGTGGGAATGAGACATCTCCAAATACACGTGGAACACACATTTCAGTGAGTTTGGGTGATTGACCTAAATCAGAGTTGGGCTTTATGTGTGCGTTTATGGGGTATGCTGTGATGCTTTGGTGATTACATCAGATGATAAAATAAAATTCGATAAAAATTTCCCTTGTAGATCAGTCGACTTAGTGGGGCTGCTGTGTCCACCCGCGGGAGGTTCATGACAACTGAAGAGAAGGCCAAAGTGGGACCAGGGTGTGTACGCTTACCTTCCGGCTTGGGACTGGCTGGCATATGGCTCACATTGCCTTCCATTCTCAACACACATTTCTGTATGTGTAGTGTGTTTGGTTAGTAGCTTGAGGGAGGCTGTACGTGAGTCTTTGTGCATGTGTGCACATGTGTATTGTGGCAGAATTTGGGGAATCTCTTTTTTGGTACTGGGGATTGAACTCGGGTCCTTGTGCTTGCAAGGCAGGCCACCGAACTGCTGAGCCCCTGGGGAATCTCAATTATAAGAAATGTTGGCAACTACTTGTTTTCCCATCACAGTGGGCGTGGAATTGGGATGGAACCCTTTTGCACTGAGCTCCCTCCCTCTTTCCCTCCCTCCCTCCCTCCCTCCCTCTCCCTCCCTTCCTTCCTTTTAGTCCTTGTCAGCTTGCATGTGCTGGGCTCAGACTTGGTGATCTTCCTGCCTCCATCTCTGAAAGTAGTGGGATCGTAGGCATGTTTCACCATGCCCAGCTTTCTGTTTTTATTTCACAGATACAGAAAAAGATGATGGTTAATATTTAATACACAGACTTCTAAACTTACTCTGTAGAAATAGTTTCCCCATAAATAGGCTCATATTTTATTGTAAACCAACTTTCATTCCCTACTGGGAATTGAACCCAGTATTTCACACATGCTGAGCACAGGCTCTTTCATTGAGGCATCTCCAGCCCCTTTTTTTAAGAAGAATGCGTTGGGGCCGGGGATTTGGCTCTTGCCTTTCTGCTGCTTGCCTTTTTTAAGAAGAAAATTCATTTTATTGCCTCTGTGATGATCGTAGTCTATAGGTAATCTGGTTAATCTATTTAGTTTCTTTCATTCCATGATTTAATGTTGTAGTTTCACTTTACCACCAGTTATACTTAGAAAATGAAATTTTATGTTGTTAATGTTTGTGCTTAGGGATGTAACATAGGGCCTTTCATATGCTAAGCACAGGCTGTATATGGAGTTACACTTCCAGCAGGAAATTAACATTTATCAGCTTTAACTAAATATATTTAGAAGGCAAAGTTTGCTTCCAGCAGCAAACCAGGGGTTTGTTTGTTTGTTTATTTTTTGAGACAGGGTCTCACTATGTAATTGAGACTGCCCTGGAACTCACTCTGTAGCCCAGGCTGGCCTTGAACTCGCAGTGATCCTCCTGCCTCAGCCTCCCGAGTGCTGTGAATACAGGCATGCACCACCATGCCTGGCTAGAGTTTATTTTAAATTTGTGTATGTAGTAGCTACTGTTTTGACCTTAGTCATAGTTGTTTTTGTATGTTAGCTTGGAACTTTTTATAATTGTATGTGGGTACTGACCATGATCTTTATTGTTATCTAAATCTAAACCGTCTTTACCTTCAGAATCCAGAATGTTCTCAGTTAATGTAGGCCTTTTAGGAAGTTTGTATCTCACCATCACTTTGTTTCTGTTATACTAGGACTTGAACCCAGGGCCTCACCTAGGCTAGGCAAATGCTGTCCCACTGAATCATATCCCCAGCTCCCACTATCACTTTCCTCATTATTTTGTATCACCAGGGCCGCATTTGCCTATAATCTATTAGACAATAAAAAGAATTCTGGGCATTGTTTGCAGTGCTGGGAATGGAACCTGGGCTGCTCTGCCCCTGAACTAAGGTCCACACTAAGTTGCTCAGACTGGCCTTGAACTTGCCGTTTTCCTGCCTTAGCTTCTCAGTAGCTGGGATTACAGAACTGCATCCTGTTCTTGAACCTTAGGTTATTTCCACTGATGGAATAGCACTAGTGAGCCCGTGTGAATAGATGTGGGTGGTTAGCTTTTTTTTTTTGTGGCTTTTTGAGACAGGGTCTCACTGTGTAGTTGAGACTGACCTGGAAGTCACTATGTAGCCCAGGTTGGTCTCAAACACAGCGATCCTCCTGCCTCAGCCTCCCGAGTGCTGGGATGACAGGTGTGTGCCACCACGCCCGGCTATTGTTGCTAGCTATCTTCTAAAAGTTAGTTTTATAGGTGGGGAACATATTTTTCCTGTGGTTAAAAGTTAACCCCCAAGTAGCCAGGCGTGGTGGCGCACACCTGTCATCACAGCACTCGGGAGGCTGAGACAGGAGGATCGCTGTGAGTTCGAGACCAGCCTGGGCTACATAGTGAGTTCCAGGTCAGTCTCAACTACACAGTGAGATCTGTCTCAAAAAAACCAAAAAATGAAAAAGGTAGCTAGCAACAACTCTGTTTTTTTTCCAGTAACTTGGAAACTGTTTAAGTTTGTTGAGCCATTCATCCCTGGTTTGAGCAGTCTGTATTCACCCTTTTGTGTCTCCCTTTATAGGGATCGTCCGTTGTATCTTCATGTGCAAGGCCAGACCCGGGAATTGGTGGACAGTAAGTAATGTGTGACTTATATAACACTGAAGGTCAGAGTAGGAGCTATGTGTAAGAGCTGTGAGGGCTGCTCTAGTTTGTGAGTTACATCCCGTTGTGTACTGGTGTTTAGAGAGTTGGGGAGCCACATGTTTGGATAATGTAGGCAATGGGTTAATGCTTGAGTAGTTCAACACTGCTTTCTGTGCGCGTGCGTGCGCGTTTTCTAGTAGTACTAAGGATTGAATCCAGGAGCTCTACACTAAGCTATATCCTTAGCTCTTTCTCATTGTCTTTATTTTGAGACAAGATCTTTTCAAAATGCCTAGGTTGAATTCAAACTTGAAGTCCGCCTGTTTCAACCTCATAGAGTACTGGAATCACAGGCATAAGCCACCATGTCTGGCTGCCCCATTACTGGATAATAGTTGATTCTTCATTTCTTTGGTAGTGTCTTACTGTCTGTGTTTTTTCCCTAGGAGCTGTAAACCGGATCAAAGAAATTATCACCAATGGGGTGGTAAAGGCTGCGACAGGAACAAGTCCAACTTTTAATGGTGCAACAGTAACTGTCTATCACCAGCCAGCACCCATTACGCAGCTGTCTCCAGCAGTTAGCCAGAAGCCCCCCTTCCAGTCAGGGGTATGTTTTGGCTAGGGATCATTGTTCCTATCAAAATGCTGCACGTTAAATATAGTACATGGTAAAGAAAAAGTACAATGCTGAAATTCCAGCTTGAGCTCTCTGCTATTGGTAGTCTACTATGTACTCTCTAGGATTTTAAGATATAACGAACATGTCCTCATTCTGATTTAATACAGCAAGAAGATGGCTAGATCGAAGGGTGTGCACCTAAGAGTGAAGAGGGTGGTTCAGTTTATATTTGTAGACTTGGTGACCACTGGAGGACCAAGAAGGCGGAGTCTGATGAAGCAAGACTTTGCTGATACACTCCTCCTAGAGAACAGGGTTGGAGAGAGCAGCCCAGACTGCAGGGAGTCATGGGGCTGACTGTACTACCCAACACTGCTCCAGGTCTACAGCATGCTGTCCTTGCTGTAGCTTTGGATTGAGAGGCTGTGCTTTCTGAATATTGGATCCTAGCTTTTGCCTTGTGAATGTTTTTTGCTCAGCAGAATAAAGTATTTATGTTGTAGGTAAGGTACATATGTAAACATGCAAGGCTTTATTTTTGTTCTGTTTTTCCTTCAGGGTTTAGGGATCAAACTGAAGGCCTTATATCTGCTAGAGTACTAGGCAGGTGCTTCACGTCCGAGCCACACGTTCCTGAAGTTCTCACTGAGATTAAGCTCCTTGATAGTGTCTCCTAGAAATTAAAAGGGGTATTTCTAGAAGTGATCTGAAGTATCTGAAGGAGTAATGTATTTTGTATAATAATTTTCTATAAGGTTAGGATTTAATTTTGTATTCTCTTATATCTGATGTATTCTTTTCTTACAGATGCATTATGTTCAAGATAAATTATTTGTGGGTCTAGAACATGCTGTGCCCACATTTAATGTCAAGGAGAAGGTGGAAGGTCCAGGCTGCTCCTATTTGCAGCACATTCAGATTGAAACAGGTGCCAAAGTCTTCCTACGGGGCAAAGGTTCGGGCTGCATTGAGCCAGCATCTGGCCGAGAAGCTTTTGAGCCTATGTATATTTACATCAGGTATGGCTGGGTGGGTGGAGCGCATTTTAGTCTTGTTAATTATAGTCTGTAGATTGGAATGATTTAGAAGGAACAAGAGTAAGTCGGCTTCATAGCAGCACGAGAGATTTCCATAAACACTGGGAGTAGTCACTTTATAAGTAATTGATGCAAATAACTGAATTAGGAAGCATAATTATATTTAATATTCAAGTTATTAAATGTTATACAAGTTTGTGATCCTAAATGAGTTGTGAAAAGCATAAAATAACTTATATGAAAACAGTATTTTATAGTCTTTTTTGGGGGGGGGACTGGGGATTGAACTTGGGTCCTTGGCAGGCCACCGAACTGCTGAGCTAAATCCCCGGTCGCTCTTCAAATTTTTTATATCAAGAAGCATCATTACCCAGAGACCATTAAAATATTTTTGATAATTGCATGATACTAACAACATCTGTGTGTGAGTGTATGTGTGTGAGTGAGATAAGATCTCAATGCAGTTTAGGCTGGCCTTGAACTGCAGTGATGCTTCTGCCCGGCCTCCCGAGTGCTGGGGTTATATCCATGAACCACCAGTTTTTTATTTTTCTTTCCTTTTTTAAGGTTTATTTTCTAGTTACATCTTAAAAGGCTTATATGGTGTTACTTATGTTCCTACCTTATGATTTCCAGAGGCCTCGATTTGAGCTCAATGAATATATAAAATAGCATGAAGGTTGGGTGTGGTGGCATATGCCTGTAATTCCAGCACCCTGAGGCAGGAAAATTGAAAAGTCAAGCCCAGCCCTAGTAATTTAGGGACTTTGTGAGACCCTGTCTCAGATAAAATATGAAAAGGTTTGGGATGTAGCTCAGTGCAAAGGGCCTTGGGTTCAATTACCAGTACCCCCCAAAAAACATGTGAAAAGTGGATATAGAACTTTTTACCCTTTTTTTTCTCTCCTTTGAATTCCTGATTCATATTTTTTTTCAGTCATCCTAAATCAGAAGGCCTTGCTGCTGCCAAGAAGCTCTGTGAGAATCTCTTGCAAACAGTGAGTGGTGTGTGTGTGTGTGCGTGTGTGCGTGCGCGCGCGCGCGCATGCATGTGTGAGAGTGTGTGTTGCGGTCTGAACCCAGGGCTTTACATGTGTTAAGCATGCATCTCTGACTTCAGATACACATGTCTTCACTTTAGCCCCAATGGGTTATATTTCTGGTTTGCATTCAAAAGAGCTGCTTCTCTTTTGGGTTATGTTTTATCTACTTGTATTAGCTTTTTAGGGCTGCCATACCAAATTGTCATGAATTAGGTGGACTGAAACAACAGCCTTTTACTCTGTGACCCTTTAGGAAGCCAGGAGCTTGAAATCAAGGTCCTGATAAGAGTGTTCGTTCTCTGGAATGCTTTTTCATTGCTGAGTGTTGCAGCAGTGTCTTGCATTTGCTAAGCGCACACTGTACCACTCATAGCTCCACCTCTGGCCCTTTTTAGGGTCTTTGAATCATTCCTAGGAGTGGTTGTGTTAGCACTCTCTGGCTTGTCTGTCTAAAGAGTACAATAGAGCTATGACAGTTTAAAACGAATTAGCAGCTGAGTGTGGTGGTGTACGCTGGTAATCTCAGCCCTCATAAGGCTGAGGCAGGAGGATCTGTGGGAATTTGAGGCCAGCCTGAACTACATAGGGAGACCCTGTCTCAGAAAACCAGAACAAGGGCCAGGGATTTAGCTTAGTGGTGATTTAGCTTAGTGGTACCACAGCCGGCCTTGCAAAGTCAGGATCCTGAATTTGATCCCCGGTACCAAGAAAACAAAATAAAACCCAAAAAATTAGCAAAGTTTTGGGGATACTTGCTTATTTGGTTTTCCTTGTGCTTTTTTTTTGAGACAGCATCTTGCTGTTTAGTTCAGGCTGGCCTGGAAAGCAGAGAATCTGCTGCCTTAGCATGCTGGGATTAGTGTGCTACCACCCTGGCTTCCATTGCACTCTGTAAACAAATATCTAAGAGTTAGGTCCTAGCTGGGTGTGGTGTGTGCCTGTCCTCCCTGCACTCTGAGAGACTGAGATAAGAAGGTCACCAGTTTGAGACCAGTCTGGGCAATTTAACGATGTAGTGAGACTGTTTCAAATTTTAAAACAAAAGGATTGAGAATGTGGCTTAGTGAGAAGGCTCATTCTCAATACTACCAAACAAAAAAGTTCTGAGTTCTTTGATGGCGCTTAAAAATCAGGTTTCAGGTTGAATTATGGTCAACCTTGTGTTCTTTTATACCCCCCCATATAGGAATTGAACTTAGGACCTTGTGCTGGCGAGACAGGCATGGTGCCACTGAACTACAGCCCTGGCCCTAACCTTGTGTTCTTTGGTATTTGAGGGACCTTTTTGGAAAGCTAGTGGTTGCTTTGTGCATATTACCAGATTTACCAACACTTGTATCAGATAATTTCCTTGATAATCTTTTTGTTTATGGGTACTCGAAGTTACAAGTTTAGTTGGATATTTGAAGTAAAGAACAGATTGGAGGGCCGAGGATTTAGCTCAGTGGGTCTGGCACCTGCTTCGCAAGAATGAGGGCGTGAGTTTGATCCCCAGTACCAAAAAAAAAAAGAACGGATTGGAGACATTGGGAGCTCCTTGAGAACATATCACCCAGTAAATATGAATGAATTTTGGGATGGGGATTTAGCTCAGTGGTTCTGTTTCCTGCCTCGTAAGCATAAAGTCCTGAGTTCGATCCCCCCGTTACCCCCCCCACCCCCAAAAATAAAGAATTTTTAGTAGTTGTGCTAGCAATTTTAGAAGTTTCCTTGCCGGGCATGGTGGTGCATGCCTGTAATCCCAGCACTCAGGAGTCTGAGGCAGGAGGATCGCTGTGAGTTCGAGACCAGCCTGGGCTACATAGTGAGTTCCAAGTCAGTCTCAACTACATAGTGAGACCCTGTCTCAAAAAACCACACGCGCACACACGCACACACACACACACACACACACACTGAAACACACATTTCCTTAACTGTAAGACTTCTGTGGTTTACTAGATGATTTTGAACCCCAGAATTGAGTTTAGTTTGGGGATGTTAGGATTGTACATGTTCCTGATTTCCAAAATTTGGGTTGTTTATAGGTTTGTCTTGTTCAAATTTAGACTAGGACATCAATGAAAATGTTTGTCCAGGAGCATTTTATCACTGTGCTATGTCCCTGGGAAATATACTCTCCCCTTTTTAAAAAAACTTTGAGGTTTGTTTGTTTCTGAAACACAATCTCACTATTTAGCCCAGGTTGGCTTAAACTTGTGGCTTCAGCCTCCTCTGAGTGCTGGGATTGCAGGTGTGTACCACCATGCCGGCCTTATTTTTTATTTTTTAATTTTTTTTCAGCTTTAATTGGGTTTATTGCTACATTTTAGGGATACAGTACAGTTACATTCATTGTTGGGATCTTGTACCTCTACATGACAGGTCTTGTTTCTCATTTTTTCCCTTGTCCCTGTCCTCCATTCACCCCCTCTTCCCCTCCCCATCTACAAACACTGTATTTCCTTCTTTTCTTATTTTTGTTTTTGAGACAGGGCTTTGCTCCATAGTTCAGTCTGGACTTGAGCTTTGTACCCAAAAAACTTCTTCCTCTGCCTCCCAAACATTTGGGATTACAGTTTGTGTGTCCTAAAACTATAATGTATATATACCTTGAGCTTTGTACCCAAAAAACTTCCTCTGCCTCCCAAACATTTGGGATTACAGTTTGTGTGTCCTAAAACTATAATGTATATATTTATGAATAAACTATGTAAATCTATATTATAAATAGTCAGTGGTGCCCATCCTATGTTAATTTGTTTTCCCCTCTTTCCTAGGTTCATGCTGAATATTCTAGATTTGTGAATCAAATTAACACTGCTGTACCCTTACCAGGTATGTTCCTTGAAGTGTTAAAGATACTTTGCTAGTAGTGATACTAGGTGTAAGACTAACTGTGCCAGGTTGCTAGTGATGTTCCCTTCAGTTTAGGTTAATTTGGAAAGCCATTCATGCCTCAGTGTTTTTCTTCCCTAGACAATTAGTTTAATATTCATCTAAAATGTCTCATTCTGCTGCAGCTGATTAAACGCTTTTTTTCTTCCCCTCAGGCTATTCACAACCCTCTGCTATAAGTAGTGTCCCTCCTCAGCCACCATACTATCCATCCAATGGCTATCAGTCTGGTTACCCTGTTGTTCCCCCTCCTCAGCAGCCAGTTCAACCTCCCTACGGAGTACCAAGCATAGTGCCACCAGCTGTTTCATTGGCACCTGGAGTCTTGCCAGCATTGCCTACTGGAGTCCCACCAGTGCCAACACAATATCCGATAACACAAGTGCAACCTCCAGTTAGCACGGGACAGGTAAGATGCCAGTCTGTAACATGCTGTCCTTGAATTTAGGGGAAACTAGAGAGACAGGTGGAATTCCAGATAATAAATCTTGTCATGTGAGCTGTTTTTTTCCGTACAATCTCGTGTGTTTGCACGATGAGCCTGAGTACTTTGTAGTGTGTACATGTTTATACATCATTGTAACGTTTGTTGTTACTTTCACAATTCTTGTCACCAAGTCGTCTGAAGTAGTGGGGGTATTCAAAGAGCCACATGGTAAATATTTTAGGATTTTGGGATCACATAGACTTGCACAGCTGCTGTATTCTGTTGTAGTACAAAAGCAGCTGTAGACAAAGTTTACAAAGTAAGCATAGGTGTTCCCACTAGAATTTTACTTATAACAGTGAGTGGCAAGCCAGAGTCCCTTTTCGCCATCCTGTGGGCACAGTTTGCCTGCTGTTCGCCTTCCAGTGTTAACTTAGTCCTCAGGAAAAGGAGCTGGCTGGTGGCACACTTCTCAGTGCTTGGAGGTGAGTTGGCAGTTTTGATGTTAGAAACACTACATAAACAGATGTTCCTAGCCTGAGATTTATGAACTTTCCAATCTTAAAAATTGCAAATGCTAGGGTTGGGCATGGTTGTAACACCTGTAATCCCAGAACTCAGGGAGCTGAGGCAGAAGGAGTGACACGAGTTCAAGGTCAGCCTGAACTACAGAGCAAGAGCCTGTCTCAAAAAAAAAAAGATTGTAAATGCTGATAGGTCTATGTTTTGTTTGTATATTGGGGCTCAAACTCAGGACCTTACACTTGCAAAACAGGTACAGGTGCCACTGAGCTAAATCCCCGGCCCTGTTAATAAGTTTTATAAATTGTGTGAGAATGGAATTTTACAAAAGAGTAGATGTCTAGCTCATCTGAGTAGCTTATGTATAATACTTGGAGACATCAGGGAAACTTGATGGCATGGTCATGGATTTATGGTGGGCTCTTCCGTGTGGGCCTTTCATAGTGTACCCATGCTAGAGTGAACTGCAGCCTCGAACCATTGCCAAGCTTCACTGCTTGTGGGCTGTGAGCACTGAAGAAGGTTGCACATTTTGTAACACAAAGGGCATATAAGCTGGACATGGTGGCGCACGCCTGTAATCCCAGCACTCAGGAGGCTGAGGCAGAAGGATTTTTGTGAGTTCGTGGCCAGCCTGAGCTACATAGTGAGTTCAAGACCAGCGTGGACTACCCAGTGAGACCCGTCTCACGGGCGGAGTGTGTGGGGGCATGTGGACTGGATGTAGTGGTACATACCCGTAATCCCAGGACCCTGGGAGACTGAGGCAGGCATATATTGCAAGTTCAAGACTAGGCAAGTTAGCAGTTGCCTGAAAAATGGAAGAAGGCCTGGGGATATGGCTCACTGCAGAGGCCTTTCATTTAGTCCCTACTACCAGAAAAACGTATATGAACTAAGTTCTGTGTATAGTTCTTAGTCCGAATTATTCTCATATTTAGACAAATCTGTAGTTCTTAGCTTTGGGCTGCAGCCCTTTGTCAGTGGGAAGTGGTTAGATGGACAGGGTTCATCAGACTTTCCCTTTTTGAGCTGTGCGATCTTGGGGTATAATTGAGCATAATTAGGGTTTGAATTACCTTACATATAAAATGGACATAATGATAAAATCTCAAAGGGTTGCAACCATTGCCATGATCCAAGCAGTCAATACATGTTTGAGACTGGGCCTGGTGGTGCACATGTACTCTTAGCACTCTGGAGGCTGAGGCAGGATTGCTGAGTTTGAGGCCAGCCTGAATTATATATATAGCAAGATCGTGGCTCAAAAATAAAAGTTGTTAACAATAGTCTTTCTTTTATATGTGCTTATTTTTCACTAGTCTATACTGTGTGTTGGTTGCCCCCGTTTCCATTTTGGAACAATCTCTTAAAAACGTTAGTCAGACTTGTCGGTATGGTAACTCAGTAACCATGGAAGTAGTAAATGAAATTGCCTCTGCCATACCCATTAACAGCATGCATGATGTAAAAAGAGCCAATCACATTAACGAAAGGACTTTAAGAGGCTTCTGAACTAAGTGGCTGAAGTTCTTATATTTATTAATGTTCATGTTGCTCTTAATACCCCAAGTGCACAACTGGTTTTTCCTGGAAAGTCAAAGAACTATCTGTAGATTTTCACTTTCCTGTTGGCTTAGGATGAAGTTGGGAAGGCTAGGTAATGCTGTTGCCAGATTACACAGGAAGGAGATGAAGGGCTGGAAGATGAAAGATACATACCTACTGATCATTACAGTAGCTTCCATCAGTTACTTATTCATTAATTGGACAGCCGCTCACTTTGTTTTCTCTTTGGCTTGTTTTGGTCCCAGAGTCCAATGAGTGGTCCTTTCATTCCTGCTGCTCCTGTCAAAACTGCCCTGCCTGCTGGCCCTCAGCCCCAGCCCCAGCCCCAGCCACCGCTCCCATCGCAGCCCCAGGTGCAGAAGAGGCGATTCACAGAGGAGCTACCGGATGAACAGGAATCTGGACTTCTTGGATATCAGGTTAAATAAAATACCCTGTCTTTTCCTTGTCTTATCCTACTGTATTCTCCCTTCATAGAAAGAGGCATTTACATCGATATCAGCTGTCCTAGTACTAAGATTTCTGCTTTCTGGAATCCATTTAGGTTAAGATTTTATTCTTGAGGAATTAATTTATTCAAAGTGGGATTTCTCATTGGGATCAGTGTGATGAGAAAGTATAAATCGGAAGTCTCATGACTGATGTCTGGAGGGGTTTCTGTAGAATTTTGTGTTGCCCTGTATTGATATAGTAGGCTCAAGAAAGCCTGTGATTTTTCTTACTTTCCTACAAATCTCACCAGAAGCTATCAGTCTGCCAGTTTTAAACTTTGGCTTTCAATATGCTATTCCCTTTGCCCCTTATTAAATAAAAAGAAGAGAGAATGCTTTTTAAAATACCCTCCTTCTCCCCACCTCCCTCCCGTAGAAAAGCACTTGCTGAAGGAATAAGGACTGGGGTAATAGTTTTCTAGTGGATCCCTTGCCTAGCATGCTTGAGGCCCCAGCCTCAGCCCCTGACACCTCAAATGGTTGGTGCACTTTTATCAGGAGAAGTACCTGTACGTGGTTCCGGAATCCTTGAGGCATTCTTTATACCAGAGCATTTTTACAGTTTATAGCTAGGCTTTTTAAAATCAGTTGAGTTAGGGCTGTCAGTTGAAAGCATAAGATAATGAATTACAGCATGCCTGAGTCCTACAGAAAAATCCCTGCTTTTAGCTCAGCTATTCGGTGGCCTGCCTTGCAAGTGCCAAGTGCAAGGACCCGAGTTCAATCCCCGGTACCAAAAGAAAAAAAAAAAATCACTGCTTTGACTAGTTAACTGCCAAGTCCCAGAGTATGTAGTGCAGTTTAATTTATTGCAATTTGTCAGAAAGATGAGACACTTGACAGTTACATTAAGGAGCTGAAGTCAATACAGCAGTTGTAGATTTGCTAATGCCACTGTATTTTTCTGCTCATAGCATGGACCCATTCATATGACTAATTTAGGTACAGGCTTCTCCAGTCAGAATGAGATCGAAGGCGCAGGATCGAAGCCAGCAAGTTCCTCAGGCAAAGAGCGAGAGAGGGACAGGTAAGTCGGGAGACAGTTCCAGGGATGTGTCAGCTGTTGCGTGTTTGAGTTGGGATCATTGCTTTGAGCGTCAGTGTTCTGAATGGAAGTGACATCGTTTGAATCAGAGAGCCCCCGTTAGTCGTAACGGGAGCAGCAGTGGGAGATGACAGGCCTCTCACTGCAGCTGTGAATGCTGCAGCACTCACTTGATCAGACATGTGATGCACAGGGACGCCTCGGCTCATGAATTTCATCCCACGGTTGGGGTCGCTGGATAAGAACAGAATCAGATTTCCCCATAAGGTCAACATTGAGCCTGACTATAGAAATTGATTTGGTTTGCGACCAGAATTGTGGAAAGAATTAAGTTTGTGAAGCAGGGTACCACTGTGCTTTTACTGTGTGCATCTTAGCTGTTTTCTGAGAGCAGGCGGGAACAGAAACACTGCCCAGTCGGCTGTTTTTACCGCTGTAGGAACACAGTGTACCACGGGTGGAGATGCTCGCTCAGGAGAACACCCAGTGCTCGAAGTCTCCTTTCCTAGATTGTGACTTTGATCTTAAGAGAACAGCGGCTCATTCTGTGTTTGCTGTGGCTTCTCTCTGTAGACAGGCTTTGTAATGTTAGACTTAATCGTGGTTGGAGGAATGAAGGGAGTGAACAAAGGGTTATCTGCACATTCTACTTCTCTGATCTACTGGATAAGTTAAACATCTGAGTTGTGAGAAGTATTTACTTTCTTTCAACAGGCAGTTGATGCCTCCACCAGCCTTCCCAGTGACTGGAATAAAAACGGAGTCTGATGAAAGGAGTGGGTCTGGGACCTTGCCTGGGAGCCATGGTGAGTAGGGTGCGGCTGGGGGAGTAGGACTGATCTAATCTGTTAATTTTCTAACCTGATGATCATTCAGGTGTTTAATCCAACCTCTGTAATCTACTGGCTAGTGAGAATCCTTTTTCTTAAAATTTATGAGGACAACATATATGCAAGCTTCTATCTTCAACCACCAAGTGTCTAGAAGAAAGTTGATTTATATTTTATACATAGCATTAGTTTCATTAAAACCCTAGGAGAGACACTAATGATTGGTTGGGCATTTCAAAATTCTGCTGCCAGCGCTGTCTGAGTACCGGAAGGTGCCGCTGGGCTACGACTGAGGAAGGGTGGATCTTCCTTCTACTGGGAGCTGAGCTGAGCCCCTTGTAGCTGAGGCGGTTATAGAATCCCAGAACCCTAAGTCCTGCAAGCACACAGGGTCAGTTGTGTTCTCTGCCTATAGTCATCGTAAAAACACAAGAAAAATACAATTTTTTCTCTTCTTGACTTCTTTTCTTTTTAACTCTTTAAAAGGTGAAATGTCAACCCCCAGAGATTTCATTTGCTAACTTTCCTTTTTTTCTTTTCTTTCTTTTTTGTTTTGTTTTTTTTGTGTGTGTGTGTGTTTCTTTTTTCTTTCTCTGTTTTCTTACATGGTTCTGGTGGATTCACATTTGCTGATGCTGGTGCTGTTTTTCGTGTGATCTTCAACGTTTTTGGGTGACCATGACCCTGTGACCTCAAAATGGTGTCCAACTAACTACTTACAATTAACATCTTTTTTTTATTAACGAATTTATGGTATTATCTTTTTTTTTCCCCTTGGTGGGGGATGGGGCTGGGGTTGTTTTTTTCTATTCTAGATTATCCTGCCAAGAAGATGAAAACTACAGAGAAGGGATTTGGCTTGGTGGCTTATGCTGCAGATTCATCTGATGAAGAGGAGGAACATGGAGGTCATAAAAATGCAAGTAGTTTTCCACAGGGCTGGAGTTTGGGCTATCAGTACCCATCATCACAGCCGCGAGCTAAGCAGCAGATGCCCTTCTGGATGGCCCCGTAGGAAGCAATGCAGCGGGACGGTTCTGACCTGGGAGACTTCTTAGCAATAACGCATGCGTCTGACGTCACGAGACCAGGGCCCTGCACTGGGAGCCATCACGCACCTTGCAGAAGTTAGAAACGCAGTGTCCCTTTTCCTAAAGGGATTGCATTCTTTTTTTAAAACATTTTTATTTCTGCAGTGACATTAACTTCGGTTAAAATTTACTTAGGGTCACAGATGTGTCTCAGAGCTTTGCTAACAGTCAGTGAGATGTGCTTGTCAGATGCTGCACGCAGCAGGGTGATACCCATGTGTATCGGAAAGGCCCAGCCTTTTCCAAATGAACAGCCACACCCCTGACATAAAGATTTGTTTGTGTTTTACTACTGTTGGGTAATTTTGATATTTGCTGGTTACAAACAAAGCCTTACTATTCATTAGTAGGGAAGTAGTTTTTAAATTGTCTTTTACTTTCAATATTTAATTCTCAGAGATCATCATCCCTATTTCAGTTTGGATTCTTTGTTTTGAAAAATACTATTTTACTAATTTAAAAATACTGGCTACAGATGGATCCTAAATAGGAAAAGGACATTCTCTC